CACACAGCCTCGTTTTTCTACCAGGCTCTTGTAATACTTTACTATACACAAGTCATAAACAAACAAGAGGATATGACAAACCCAAACAGCGATCTGTGTTGTTAAATTAAAGAAATATTAGAACCTTTACATTGCCTATTGTAAAATAGCGTGCAAATCTGTTGATGCTGTAAAAATAATGTTTTCGAAAAACAACAACAACAGATACTTTAGATTTGACGTAGCTAATGTAATATTCAGATTTATGACTAATAGTGACTACAGTTTAACTGGGAGGCGTCACGTCAGAGCTAACAGTGTATTAAAGCATTCAATAAATCATTGTCACTATTAGTCATGAATCTAAATACTTAATTTGTCAGGGCAAATCTGATGGTGTATTAAAATATTGAACAAATCGTGATCAATGTTGGTCATAAATCTGAATACTAAATTTCCCAGGTCAGATTTATTAGCATATTAAAGCATTGAACCGGCTATTTTATGTTAATTTTAATTAATTCAATGATTTGAAATTACTAATTTTTCTTTAATGGGACAGAAAATACCAAAGAGAATGTACAACTTATGCGAATAATAAAAAATATAAATACGTGGGAGTAGAAATTATACGTTACATTGGTACCCATGTTTCAGTTAGTTCATCAGTTTGTTATTGGTACACATGCATTAACATCTTATGTCACTCAAAAATTATATTTTTAAAACAGTTCTCTATAGTTCGATGACGAGGAACCCTCTTTGAGACTAATAATGGTTGGATACGGCTTGAATGGGTAATGAAGAAAAACTTTAATATAAGTTTAACATAACAGCAAATGTACAACGTTTCGACAAGGTGATGATGAAGTTTTTCTCCATTACCAAATCAAGCCGTCTCCAACCATTATTAGTTCTCTATAGTGTAATAAATACTATGTAACTTTTAAATAATTAAAGACTTTTACATTCTTGTGAGATCGAAACACTAAATATTTTACATATCATTTCGAACGCCATCTCTTGGCAACTTTTAATCATAAATCTGAATAGTAAATTTATCACGTCAGTTTGTTTGTAATTAAGCACAAAGCTACACAATGGGCTATCTGTACTCTACCCACCACAGGTATCGAAACCCAGTTTCTAGCGTTGTAAGTCCGCGGACATAATACCACTGTGCAGGCCTTTGAATCTGGTCTCTGTGAATCATGAGGAAGCCTTCGAACACGGTCTCTGTGAATTATGAGGAGAACTTTTAACCCGTCCTCTGTGAATCATGAAGAGGCCTTTTAACCCCGCCTCTGTGAATCATGAGGAGGCCTTTGAATCCGGTCTCTGTGAAACATGAGGAGTTCTTTGAACTCGCTCTCTGCGAATCATGAGGAAGCCTTTGAACCCCTCATGATTCACAGAGACCGTGTTCGAAGGCTTCCTCATGATTCACAGAGACCGGATTCAAAGGCCTCCTCATGATTCACAGAGACCGTGTTCGAAGGTTTCCTCATGATTCACAGAGACCGGATTCGAAGGCCTCCTCATGATTCACAGAGACCGTGTCCGAAGGCTTCCTCATGATTCACAGAGACCGGATTCAAAGGCCTCCTCATGATTCCCAGAGACCGTGTTCGAAGGTTTCCTCATGATTCACAGAGACCGGATTCAAAGGTTTCCTCATGATTCCCAGAGACCGTGTTCGAAGGTTTCCTCATGATTCACAGAGACCGGATTCGAAGTCCTCCTCATGATTCACAGACACCGAGTTCAAAGAACTCCTCGTGATTCAAAGAAGCCGGGTTCAAAGGCTTACTCATAATTCACAGTAGCTCCAATGTACCAATAAAGCTCCTCCATTATCCTCCAATTGCTTCTATAGGTACTTCAAGGAGATGTACGTACTCGAAAACAAACCACGTCAGGACATCCGTCTTTGTACCCGACCACGTGCGCCACGTTTGGTCCTGTTAGCTTATGAATGGGGGGTAAGAACACAGTTTGAAACATGGCCCGAAGGAGGTGAGTAACACAAAATCTGATACCAGATTAGGGTTCAGTGACCCAAAAACCTATTTCTAAACTGCCATTATACTCAAGTGGCTTTTCGGCACGTTTTTGACCTCCCAGGGCTTTGGTAAGGGGCTACTCCATATAGATACGGACACTACCTGGGCCAGCTTGAGTCCGCCTACTAAGTTTGGCTCTGCTTGCTCCGAAACTGACAAATGGGCAAATTCACAAACACACAACGTGAATTAATATATGATGATCATTCGGTATATGTCATACATATATTGTTTATTGTCATTCATTGATAGCGACACATATTTGTGAAATACAGCCTTCATTAATACATAACACAAATAAGTGACACAAAATACGACATTTTTAAAACTATTTTGCCTTCGCCTCATCGAATCATGGTAAAGGTAGGTAAATTAATTGTCTATTTTTGATTTTAAAAAATACGCGGTTAGCGAAAGTTTTTATCTTTGCATTTTATCACTAGAATAAAAAAAAAAAAAAAATAACATGTCCCACGGTACGTGAAGTCATCCAAGACACTTCTCTTACGTTTGGGGGGGGGATGTCAGTTCTTTGGGTCCAAAAATAACCAATAACAGTATTTCATTATAGAAGAACAATACTACAAATATAATAAATAACTTAACTTGTAGCTACAGGACAATAAAGCAAATATACCGTCTATACCACGGGGAATCAAACCCTGGATTTTAGCATTGTAAGTCCGTAAACTTACAGCTGTACCACCGGGGGACTAGCCTGGAATAATAAGT